TTAAAAATTGTTTTGCAGAAATAGAATTTCCAAAGACTGAATCAGTGAGTTCCTTGGATCTGCACAGAGCAGGCTGTCTCCCTTTCTGGACTCCAGGTGAAGGGGTGCCAGCTCCCCATCTTGGCGGGTCTCTCACCCACACACACCGTGAGTGTGTATACGGCTGCATTTGCATTCATGAATATTCATACATGTCCGTTAAATATTTTTTATGAGTTGATTTATGTATACATGAGAGCAAAGCTCGTGATTAAAAAATTTAAACACTATAAGCTGGGCACAGTGGCTGATGCCTGCAATCCCAGCACTTTGGGAAACCAAGGTGGGAGGAACGCTTGAGCCCAGGAATTGGAGACCAGCCTGGGCAACATAGTGACAGCCCATGTCTACAAAATATTAAAAAGTTAGCCTGTAGTCCCAGCTACTCGGGAGGCTGAGGCAGGAGGATGGCTTGAGCCTAGGAGTTTGAGGCTGTGAGCTATGATGACGTCACTGCACTCTAGCCCGGGAGACAGAGCAAGACCCTGTCTCAAAAAAAAAGTCAATGGTATAAAGGAAGACAACACAATCAATAAAACGTCCCCTATCCCCTGCCCACCTTCCCTCAGGCCACTCCCCAGCAGCGACCACACCCCCCCTGGCATCTGTGCCTGCGTTCTACCAAGTGGTCCGTCATTCTGCCACCCTCCCACCCTGCTTTTTAAAAGCGTGCCTGGACAAATGCATAACGTGAGGACAAACTCCTAAGAGTGCTGTCACCGCACAAATGTCACCTGCACTTACATTTAACAGACACAGCAGGGATGGCCTCCCAGAGGGGGCACCGTGTGTCCTCCCACCAACGGGGTCTGGGGTGCCTGCACAGGACTGTCAAGCTTCATGTGTGGGGAAAATGGTGCCTTCTTTCATTTGAGTTTCTTTAATTATGAGAGTGTCGTTAATTCTGGAAAGGAAAATAGGAACAGAGGGACCTCTTGCTTTCTCATTAGCACCGACACCGGCCCCCAGCAGGCTGTCGGCCGCCTCGGCCGCCTCTCCCCGTAAGTCTCTCCACTCCACATGGACAGGGACCACAGGAGGTCCCAGCAGACTCTCTGTGCCCTTTACAGGGGGCCACACAGAGGCTCAGAGGGAATCAATGACCACACAGGACCCCAGAGCCCCTCATGTAAGATGTCAAGCCCACTGCCCTTGTCCCTGTCCCCACCACCCTCCCACCCAGAGACAGCAGAGTGACCGTTATCCTGGGAGCATCAGCCCCCAGCTGAGTGGAAAGATGCCAGGAGTCCCCTCTTCCTCTGTGGCAGATGAGTCTACCGTAAGGACAGATGCAAGGTAACCTGGGGGGCTGATCCTGGGAGACATGGAACCTGCACAGTTAGGAGCCTGACCAGAGGGGAGTCCCCAACACTAAAGCCAGCTCACGACCAGAGAGCTTTGACAAAGACAGATGCCTCTTCTTGTTCCTCCGACGAAGACCTCATAAGGCGCAAGTGAAGCCCCTAAAAGTTAAAAAAAAAAAAAAAAAATCAAACAACCAACATCTGAAGGTCAATAGCTTCAAAAAGAAGAAAGTGCCCTTCCTTTTGAGAAACAGTTTATTACCTGCCACACATGCTGCCCGCAGAATCCCACAGAAAGCCTTAGGTCACATCCCTCCATGTCTCCGATGGTTCATCTTATTTTGAAATTCAGGCATCAAACTGGTGAATGCTTATGAAATCTCAGGAGTGGTAAAAGCTGCCCCAGGCCTCATCCCAAAGCCAGAAGTCATAAAAGAAAAGCTGATAGACTTAGCTACGGAAAAATGTAAAACCTGTGCATAGCAAACAAAACAAACAAAAAAACTAAATCCAAAGTCAAAAGAAAAATGACAACCTGGGAAAAATACATGCAATGTACGCCAATATATGGCAGAGACAGGCTAAATACCTTTATACAAAAAGCTCTACGAATCCACAGGGAAAAGACACATAGCGCAATAGAAACATAAAAACCAGGCAAAGAACCCATACAGGCAATTTTCCAAATGGCCAATCATAACATGATGTTCAACATCACCAGCAGTCAAAGAAATTAAAACTAAAATGATGAAAAGGCTTGCTTTGCCTATCAGACTGCCAAAGACAAAACGGAACGACACCACTACGGACTGGCCAGAAACAGGCACACCCCTCGCCAGCGCAGGACAGCAAGCTGGCCCCACGTTTCCGGGGGCACCTTGGCAAAAGGCATCGTGGTCTTTGGCCCCACACTCTGCTCTCAGGATCTTGATCCTAAGGAAATAGATTCTCAGAGTGACTCCAAGGACAGAGCATCAGAGATGCTCGCCACACCACTGCTTTAAAAACCGTGAAGAAACATGCCAAAATCTTCATAGTCATATCTTGGGAGATTACATTATTAATTAGATCATTTTCCCCAAATTTTAGTAATGAAAGGGTATTACTTTATAATGAGAAAAAAAAAGGTTATTGAAAAAAAACTAAGGCATTAAAACAATGTTTTAATGGGTTTCTTGACCCCAAAGTTGGCCCCCAAATTCCCCAGGCTGGTAAGACGAAATAAATATCCCCCTTGCCCTCCTCTGGAGAAAGAAGGAAGTCTCAGTTTTTGATCCTATCAAGGCTCTGACACTTTCTAGACAGGAAACCAAGCCCCGGTTCCTCCGCAGACACCCGCATCAGAGGCCTAGGAGGCCAACAGCACGGGTCCACGTCCTGCCTGCGGTCTGCCCCTGCCACAGTGGGCAAGGGGGGGCAGGGACATGTCTGGCTTGTTCCCTGCCGGTCCCAGCATCCTGGGCAGCAGCTGGGATGCCACCAGCCTTGGGCACATCTCTCTCCACTGTTAAAAAAAAAAAAAACTAGAGAGATTTCCAAGGTCAGTGAACAGCAGAGACAGAAACAGAACCTGACCTACAGCCCAGGGCACGTTCCTGGAAAACAGTGCCCCTCCCCCCACACCTGTTCACCCCGCATTTCCCCAGCCTCCCGGCCCAGGGGCATGCTTCCCTGCCGCACGACCGCCACTCTCAGCCCCAGGACCCTTGGCTCTGAGTTTGGGTGAGGCAGGGAGCTCAGACACACATTTGCATCAACAAATCCGGAGCCAAAGGCCGCTGGAGCCAGGGGCAGCATGTGAGCGTGGGGACTCGGGGGGACTCGGTGGGGCGCGGGCAGGCCGGCTCCACCCGAGCTCCGCGCCCGCTGCAGGCGAGGAGCCCCACCTCGGCGGCGCGGTGCGTCCCGGCCTCGCGGCCCTGCGAGCGCTTTCCCACGACCACGCCCCCGCGGGCTAGCTTCCCGGCCCCGGGGACCCGCTGCACCCCGAGGGCCCGGCCGCGACGCGAGCTCCGCGGGGCCCGGGCCAGACGCGCCGCGGGGACGGGGGATCGGGGAGCGGGGCCCCGGCCAGGCCCGCGCAAGGGAGGGCGCCGCCTCGGCCGCCTCCCGGGGCGGGCGCTCGGGCCCTCGGCGGCGCGGCGGCAGGTGGGCGCGCTCTCGCGGGCGGGGGTCCGGCCGGGCCGCGCGCCTCCCCCGGAACTCGGCCGTGCCATTCCCATGATGCCCAGCCACCGGGCACGGCTTCCGGAGCGCGGCCGCCGCCGCCGCCGGCGCCCGGTAGGTCGCGGAGAGGGGGTGGTCCGG